CGTATGCGTATGCGTATGCGTATGCGTATGCGTATGCGTATGCGTATGCGTACATGTATATGTATACGTATACGTATTTGTATATGTATATGTATATGTATATGTAGGTCTTGGCATATTCAGGTCTTGTAAGATTGAGAGTATCTTGGCGACGTTTCAACGAGGTCCCATTCACCATCTTCAGGCTGGTACCTTCGGCTTCCTGCTTGTGTGAGCAAAGCGTGATCGGAGCTGCCGTTTTTCTATAAATATTGGTGTGTGTGTGGAGTGCTGGCTTTGTTGCTGTAAGCAGGTTGGTTAGCTGTGTTGTTACATCTTGATTCGTTGATGGGGTTGATGTATGCAGATTAGTTGTCTGTTTCGTAACATCTTGTGTGGCTGAGGTACTAGCTGTGTGCCCATCAGTCTTTTGTGTTTTATGGCACTTCTTCAGATAGTAGAAGAGAGCTGTCAAGTTCCACTCAATCTTCTCTTTTCCAGCTAACAATTCTTTCAACTATTGCTCATAATATGACCTTCCAAGCCCTGGTTACTTTTTCCTGCCAGAAATATGTATAACTAGACCTGTACTACATTTGAAGACTGTTTTTTAAAATAAATATACACCTACCACTCTTTTTGGATGGATGACATGATTTTAAATCATCACAGGTACGGGCTGGATGCTTCTTGGATCCATCAGGGCTGCGCATGGTTTCAATCTGGCTACTCAGTGACTTCAGTGTGGCATGGACTCCTGGATCTGTTTTATTGTTGTCATCTGGAGCAGCTTCATCTTCAGTGAACTCTGGTAGTGGGTCTGGTAGACCATCATCATAATGTCCCATAATGTCACCAATTGCAGCAGTAAGATGGCCGGGGGGACCTGGTGGGCCTGGAGGACCAGGATCACCAGGAGGGCCCTACACACAAAAAGCAGTAATACAAACCACATCCAGGATTGTAATATCTGAGACACAAAGTTACCATAACTGCAGAGTAGTTCCAATAACTATAACTAGAGTCACTGGTTAAGATAGGCGGCTATGCAAGTTGAATAAATAAATAAAAGGTTAACTAGAGGAATGTATTCTTTTAGCAACCCAATTTGCATCAGTAACTGCAGTAGCAAAAGAATAATTACATTGTTTTAGTAATAGAATAGTATAGTTCTAATTGATTAATACCTGGACATAGATTAAGAAAGATTGTTTTGGAGCCACCTTCCCCAAAACTGTAAGTACTTGATATTGATAACATCTAAATTCATTGAACTATTTTATGTATTTCTTCTTCTCAGGGTAAGCAGAGTCATTCCTTTCCTCCTTATTTTTTATTCCTGAACAGAGGCAATAGTGGCAATAGTGAAACATTTTTGTAGTACTGTCATGTAAGACCCATAAAATGTATGAAGTCATGAGGCAACAAATACAATTTGAAGTACATTTTACTCTTTTTTAAAAAAGTTTAGAGGACCTAATCTTGATACGAGATGAGGAATAGGAGAGTTTTTTTGCTCCTTTATTGAAAAATCCGTATCTGGATCACTTCTATTACCTCTGTCAACATTTTAAAAAGTGATCCTTTAAATAACCAAATTGCCAGTGCAAGTGGCAAGGACAAAAAGTCTGATCTGGGTTGCTCCTAAAACAAGGAGCGTCAGGTTCCTACCTCACTAGTTCAAGTGCCCTGCATTTATAAAAAAAAAGATGTGGTGAGGTGGCGCAGTGGTTAGAGTGCAGTACTTCAGCTGACTGTTAGCTGCAGTTCAGCTGTTCAAATCTCACCGGCTCAGGGTTGACTCAGCCTTC